CGGCCCTATCGCCGAAGGCTCCTATGACCGCTCCACCACCTCCACAGATGTCTGAACCAGAGGAGGGTCAAATCTTGGACGATGGCGGCCACCTGCATAGTGTTTCTCCAGCCGATATCTCGTCATCCTCTCCAGACGAGGCTGTCTTCCAGGGGGACACCTCACCACTGGATGATGGACGAGAATTCCAAGATCTTTTCAAAAGGGTAGCACAGACACAGAATGTCCAGATGGCAGAGGTGCAGACAAAGCAATATAGGTTACTGAAAAACCTGCACCAAAGACGACAATCTAGGGTGGCGCTGCCTATTGATGAGGCGATCCTGGAGCCAGTCACGGAAATCTGGCATACCCCTGCATTGGCTACGCCCACATCAAAGAGGGTGGAAAAGAGATACTTTGTCCCTTCTAAGGGTTTAGAGTTTCTTTTTACCCACCCCCAGCCAAACTCTCTGGTAGTGGATGCAGCCCTCAACCGAGCCAAGAATCCACAGGTGAAAAACGCGTCAGTGAAAAAAGAGGCCAAAAAATTCAACATATTCGGTTGAAAAGTTTACTCTTCATCCACACTCCTTCACATTGCCAACTACGCGGCTCTGCTTTCCAATCATGGCTTTGATAACATCGCCAAGTTGGCAGAGCTCGCCCAGAACACTTCGGAAGCAGACAAGGCTATACTGTGTGCCGTAGTGCAGGAGGGCAACGCATGCTCCAGGGAAAGCCTCCAGATTGCCATGGATGTCGCGGACACTGCGGCAAGATCAATAGCTACCGCGATATCCATGCGCAGAGCATCATGGCTAGATGTGGTGGGCGCTCCAAGGGGGCGCCACTCCCTCTTCACTCAGACCTTCTTTCACAGGAGCAAGGCACTCTCCTGCATCCCAGGCTCGATGCACTCCACCTCACAGAATGGCTGATAACTGGCTCAAAAATGACAAGACCCTTTGTTTGGAATGGGTCAAGACAATATTGATGAGCAGCAGGAAGACTTCTACCTGAAAAACTTACCTGGCAAAGTGGCGCAGATTTGCACAGTGTCGTACTCATAACAGGAAGCCTCTCGCCTCTCCTCTATATCAGATCCTTGACTACATCCTCCAGCTCTACGAATCCGGGCTCTCCATGTCATCCCTGAAAGTTCATTTAGCAGCTATCAGTGCTTTCCATGATTCAGTACATGGCTCCTCAATATTTTCTCACCAAACCACGAAAAGATTCCTAAAGGGCTTGATGAACATACACCCACCCCACAAGCTCCATCCCTGGTTTGGAACTTAGACTTGGTGCTACATACCATCTTTACCCTCCTTTTGAGCCCTTAGCATCGGTACCGTTGCGAATGTTAACAATGAAGGTGATATTCTTACTAGCTATCACTTCTGCAAGCAAAGTCAGTGAGCTGAGGGCATTGATGGCAAGTCCTTCCTACACATCTTTCTCTAAGGATGCAGTGACATTACAACTACACCCGGCATTTACACCTAAGGTCAATTCATTGTTTCATATCAATGAACTCATAGTTCTAGCCTCATTTTATCCTAAGCCGCACTCTTCTCGCTCCGAGGCCTTATTCCATATGCTCGACATTCGACGGGCTCTCTCCTTTTACATAGAGAGAACCTGCTCATGGAGACGTACGGATAGGCTACTCATATTGATAGTGCAGCATTCCAAAGGCAATCCAGTCTCGAGACAACGTATTTCTAGACTCATTACTGCTTGCATTACTACATGTCATTTGCTCAGAGGTAGACCGCTTGCTTCACAGCCTATCTCTCACTCTACTAGGTCGGTGGCCACTTCCACTGCCTTCGTGCGAGGTATTCCTCTTAGTGACATTTGCCGGGCAGCCACCTGGTCCTCCAGTACCTCATTTGTGCACCATTATGTTATAGTACATCATTGGGCCACAGACTCTGCTGTAGCGTCTGCGGTTCTATCATCTGCAGAAAATCATTGACCCAGTGCGCACCTTGGCTACTGCTTTATAGTCACGTAGAGTGGAGCACTCACAGGGACCGCTCGAAGAAGGAGAAGTTACCCACCTTGTGTAATAATGATCGTTCTTCGAGATGTGTCCCCGTGGATGCTTCACATCCCACCCTCCTCCCTGCTCTGGGTCTTCTCTTCTGTGTTGTTGCAGATTCCAAGCGGCGAGAGGAACTGGCAAGGGACCGGACTGCACAACGAGAGAAAGAGCATGAACGGCGCGCGACGGCTATTGTGCAGGCGCGGCCCAGCCAACTACAGCTATGAAAAGCCTCCGACCAGCGGTGCCAGGACGAGCCTGACACCTACAGTGGAGCACCCACAGGGACATATCTTGAAGAACCATTGTTACTACACAAGGTGAGTAACTTCTCTTTCAGTTATTAAGAACACCTGTTATAATAAGCACTTCCTCTTAACATCTCTCAACAATTCATAATTTCATAAATCACAAAAAATGTGCGATGACAAACATCCCTAATACATGGCAGAACATAATTGAAATTATAAGCACCCCATTATCAATTACCCACTGCTATTTATTTTAATATACTTATGTAGGGTCTCTTCCGTGTGCGTTTTCACTATCTTAATAAGCTCAGGGTAAAAAATTACATTCCATTAGTGAGTTCATTTTCACTTCATGCACTAAGTTCAACTGAAGGAAAAAGAACTTTCAGTGACAGTAGGTATAGGACACTAAATATGTAAATACAGGGCATCCCCGTTAAAAGTCGCTCCGGTATACATCTGTTCTGAACTAATGTCATTAATGCTTGTAGGAACTGATGCGTTATAAGTCTGCCCATTTCTCACTCTTAAGTCACACAAAAAAAAACCCAAAACAAACCCCAAACTCAATTTGTGCAAGTGGAAGTCAGCTGCAGGAAAAAAATTCCCTGCTTTAAGTTGCTTTGATGTAAGTTGGCAAATGTCATTGAGGAGCCTTTGGCCATTATCTTTGAAAAGTCATGGAGATCGGGAGAAATCCCAGATGATTGGAAAAAGGCAGATGTAGTGCCCATCTTCAAAAAAGGGAAGAAGGACGATCCACTGGGAAAGTCTGTGGATGTAATATACCTTGACTTTAGCAAGACTTTTGATACGGTCTCCCACAATATTCTTTCCAGCAAGTTAAGGGAATGTGGATTGGATAAATGGACAGTAAGATGGCTAGAAGGCCGGGCCCAGCGGGTAGTAATCAATGGCTCGATGTCAGGATGGCAGTCAGTTTATAGCGGAGTGCCCCAAGGTTCGGTTCTAGGACCGGTTTTGTTCAATATCTTTATTAATGACCTGGATGAAGGGATGGATTGCACCCTCAGCAAGTTTGCGGATGACACTTAGCTAGGGGGAGAGGTAGATTCACTTGAGGGCAGAGATTGGGTCCAGAGTGACTTAGACAAATTGGAGGATTGGGCCACAAGAAATCTGATGAGGTTCAACAAGGACAAGTGCAGAGTCCTGCACTTGGGACGGAAGAATCCCAAGCATTGTTACAGGCTGGGGACCAACCAGCTAAGTAGTACTACTGCAGAAAAGGACCTGGGGATTACACTGGATGAGAAGCTGGATAAGAGTCAACAGTGTGCCCTCGTAGTCAAGAAGGCCAATGGCATATTAGGTTGCATTAAGAGGAGCATTGCCAGCAGATCCAGAGATGTGATTATTCCCCTTTATTTGGCTCTTGTGAGGCCACATCTGGAGTATTGTGTCCAGTTCTGGGCCCCCCACTACAAACAGGATGTGGATGCATTGGAGAGGGTCCAGCGGAGGGCAACCAAAATGATTGGGGGGCTGGAGCATATGACTTATGAGGAGAGACTGAGGGAGCTGGGTCTGTTTAGTCTGCAGAAGCGAAGAGGGGGGATTTGATAGCAGCCTTCAACTTCCTGAAGGGAGGTTCCAAAGACGATGGAGAAAGGCTGTTCTCATTAGTGACAGATGGCAGAACAAGGAGCAATGGTCTCAAGTTGTGGTGGGAGAGGTCCAGGTTGGATATTAGGAAAAACTATTTCACTAGGTTACCTAGGGAAGTAGTGGAGTCTCCATCCCTAGAGGTGTTTAAGTCTCGGCTTGACAAAGCCCTGGCCGGGTTGATTTAGTTGGGATTGGTCCTGCGTAGAGCAGGGGGCTGGACTTGATGACCTTCTGAGGTCTCTTCTAGCTCTATGATTCTATGATTCTAAGTCCAAGTTTTTTGGGATGTATCTTGGACTTATAGCAAGGACAGTATGTACACAAAATAAAATGCTTGTGGTTAACACAAAAAGAATTATGAGAGGTTTAGCACACAGAAATGATTAAAGGGTTAGTATATACTAATAAGATTTTTCAAGTCAAATTAGCAAAGATTTTGAGAAATTAAGGAGGAAAGGTGAAGTTTAAGTATATCCTGCATTTTAGAGAAACTGGCATCTTTATTTTTAGTCTTCCTATCATGTGCTCTGATTATTAGAATTAATTCCAAATAAGGCCAAAGTTCTTCTGATTCTAGCCAACTTTTTCTAGACCTTTTGAAATGTTGCACAAAAAGTTGAAGTAAAAAGCATGGGGGCATGTGATAGCTAATCTCTTTAGCAATAAGACTCTGAAATGTAAGCATCTTGTTTGAAATGCACCTAGTTCTGTGCAAGTCTTTGTTTTGCTTTAGAAGCTTTTCCTTGCGCAAATCGAGAATGTAAACTCCTTTGTGTAGTCCAATTAAATCCTGTTGGTAGCCTGTCAGTGGAGGGTGAGAGGGGGGAACTTTCTAAAAAATTGTTCAATGACCGTGTTTCATAGTGAAAGAATTTGCCTGAAAGGCTCTTGGAGTCTTCTGTGTATGTCCTCTTCGAGAAGAACTGACATGGAGGGAATACCCCCATTTCTTCAGTCTAAAATGTTTTGGGATGATTCAACTAATTCATCAGAAAGTGAAAATGAGGCTCAGTCAGCCTTTTCACAGACTGAGCACAATATAGTTGCAGCTTATTTAATAACAGCAGGTATGGTGTTTAGTGGGTTATTTTTTTTAAATGGGAATTTAGGCTTCTATATTCATTTTGGGGCAAAATGCCAATGAAATGCCTTTTATTTTCAAAAAGAAAAAGGTATAGTGTTTTTCAAATTGAAGGTAGATATGTAACAGGGTGTAAAATGTGTAGAAAAAATTTCTGAAATAAAGCTTACAGTTTAAGGCTTGGCATTATTTAAAGTGTATTTTGCTTATACGTGATTATAGCAAAAACAAATTCAGAAGTTTGTCAGCATGCAAAAAGAGTAAAAGCAGAAGTTGTAACATTTTGCATTTTTCAGTGAAGTGCTTCATGTTATCCTTCTTTGTCTCTTGATGATGACACATTCACAATAATGTGTGTGCACTCTGAGTGTGTGCAGGGGTGTCTTTGTAGGAGACGTAAGCAGAAGTGTTGGAATGTCACGGAGGGTAAGGGGTTGTTAATTGATTGAAATAACCAGGCTCTTGTTTACTAGTATGTTTCAGTGATGACGCATTTTAGGAAATGTAGCACACAGGTTGGGGGCTTGATCCAAAGACAGTGTGCTCCCACTGATTGTATGGGGTTGTGGCACAAAGGTTAGAGGAGCCAAGATCCTTCTCAAATATGGAATAACTTTTCTGGAAAATAATACATGTTTCAGTAAGAGAATTGAATGTTTCTAGAGTAAACACTTTAATTATACAATCTGTCACAATTAAAAATATGCCTGTGTTTATTTTATGCCTGTTCAATAGAAATATTAAACCGCTTGAGAGATAAATATTTTGTTAGGAAAAACTGTACATTTTGAGCACACTTTTTCCATCTAGTTTCAGTGTTAGAATTAGTTTATGAAATATTTTCAACTAATTCTTCTGATTTTTATGGTTTAGGTGAGGTAATTATAAGATCAAATTTTACTCAGTGAATCTTTTTTTGTGTAGTATTTGATAAATCACCTTTCCATTTAAGATGAAATTTAGTTTTTTAAATATAAAGGTTGATATTTCAAACAGCTCTAATCTTTTTTTTAATTGTAGTTTTTCTAAGAATGTATTATATTCAATAACTAGAAGATTTACTTGCCATTCTTTGGGTCCTTAATGGGTCCTTAATTTAAAAAAAAATGTTTTTCTTCATTTAAATCATTGTTCTGGGGTGGGACTGAGGATGAGGGGTTCAGTATGCAGGCTGCCCCAAGGACTACCCCAACCCTATCTCATCACAGCAGCTTGGGGCCAGGTGAGAAGTGCCTATCCATGGCTTCTGCAGCCATGGGGGAAGAGACGGACACACAGACAAACTCTGAAATATATAGTCAATAACTGTCCCTTTTTCTACCCCTGCTTCCTTCTGGCCCCTTGATGTCCCCTTGTGATCATTCTAGTATAACTGTCCCGCCCACCAGATCTCTCCCTTTTTGTTTTATGAAAAACAATCACATTCCAGGCACATCCTAGTGCCTGGTCCAACCAAACCCTGACCTTGCTTTAAGTTAGGATAAAAGGAAGCTGCATACCAAATTTAGTGGTCCTAGCTCTTACCATTCAGGAAAAGTTCTTGAACAAATGGACTCTCAGACAGATGGATAGACAGACATAAAAACTCTCTAAAATATATAGCAGATAATCTATTTACTGCATTGAAACCCTAAATATGCTTTTCTACTTGGTGCTACCAAATCCTTTGCAGATAAATGAATAACACTGGCACGGTCAGAAATGCAGGTAATTTTTTCAGACTTTGATTTAATTCAATTGACTGGATTAATATTGTATAAATGTCTGGTTTAGCAAATAATTTCACCATTTTATGAAGAGCAGTATTAACAGGGAAGACAAGGAGAATAGCAAGGGCAAACCTCTCCTTTTTCTCTCCCACCTGGCCACTGATGTGGGAGCTACAGATGGGTCTATTGCAGGGCTTGAAGGGCCTCTGGGTTGGATCCAGCTCACCAAGAGAGTTGATCTGGCCCACAGAGGCCCTGTGGCTCCCCCGCTCGCAGGCCAATTAGAGCCTGGGGACTGGGGAAAGCCCACGAAGTTTCCTCCACCCTGCCAGTACTGTGCGGCGCTTAGAAGTAGCACATGCTCCTGGCAGAGTGGGAGGAAAACTCCCCCACCCCCAGACCCTGATTGGCTTGAGGGCAGAAGGGGGAGCGCGCAAACTCTCTTCCCACCGCTGGAGGCATGGGCACCTAGGGGGGAATCTCGGGGGGAAAGGGAGCAAAGACTTCACACACTCTCCCACCCCCAGGCCAATCATGGTTAGGGAAGCATGCTGGCCCCGTCCTTTCCGCTTGAGGCCTCGTCCCTTCCGGAGTGGCTTGGGGCCACTTCAAAAATTTCTGCTATTGGTAATCATCAAAATATAAGTGGTATCAGTACTGTTAGGTATACCCAGGGCCTCCTAACCATTTAAATGCCTGCTGTGCAGGAAACATTTTCTGTCTGAACACATGCACATTCTGGTAACTGGTAATGTTCTGATCAGCTTGTGATAATAAAAAGAATGAAATATGGCTGAAAACCACGAGACAGTCCTACATTTGTGTTAAAAATGTTTGATTTCAATATGATAGTTTCAGTAATAGAAGTAATTCATAGAAACTCCTACAGTGACATACATGTATAATAAAATGTCTCTAATTTTCTAGGATTTTCTTTTCTAGGATTTTACCACTTCTATTCCTATATGTAAGATGCTTGATTTCTATTTATGTCTTTTGTATATGTAACTTGGCTACGTAGGTGGCCATTATGGTTTAGTCATTATGCAGGTACTTTTATATATAAAGCTGTATTGCCCATGTTGTTGGGAGCATGTCTTACTGATCACCAGTGGGAGCTATACATATGCACTGAGGTGCTTGAAGCCATTAGTTCTTACCATTATGCTACCTCTGGTGGTGAGAGAATATCTGGTCGTCTGTACTGCATCTGTTCTCTCCCCTTTCACACTATATGACACTTTTTGTCTTGACAGACATTTGGTTATTGAAGATGTGAGGTCATAGGAGGGTGTTACCGCTTTTTTGATGGCTATAAAAGCCAATTCTGGATAACATTTTATTTTTGGTTTTATTGCATTGAGTGCAATGAAAGGCATTTTCCTGTTGTCCGTGGCTATTCACTCATTTTTTACTGTCTTTTGGTTTTGAGTATATAGAGCCACTGTCTATCATGTTCTGTGATGCCTGTTTCCAGACTCTAATGATATTTCCTTTGAGGTTCCCAAGTCTGTGGCTCAATACCAAAGCAATTTAGGTCTCTCTTACAGGCATCTTGAAACTTTGGGCATCCTCTCTGTCTTTGACTCTCCTTTAACTCACCATTAAATATGTCTTTAGGACATCTTTTGTCCTATGAATCTGATACAACCAATGAACATGGTTGTACTTGATAATAGCTTATCAGGCTGGAGATTTTGCCCTCATAAGCACTTCTTCATTGGTAATTTTATCTTGCCCAGTGATGCCTAGAATGGATCTCAGGCACCATAGATGGAAGCTATTGAGTCTCTTTTCTTGTCTGCTATATGAGGTCCATGTCTCGCTGCCATAAAGAAAGATGCTGATTTTTCAGGCTTTATCAATCAAGAGCATAGCCTTCTTAGTCTTGGTTTCTTGTCCTTCTATGCTCATTTTGCGACACTACCAAAGTTGGTGGCTGCTTTCCAAATATGTATGCACACCTCTTCATCCAATGATAAATTCTTGTTAATGGTAGCTCCCAGGTAACAAAATGAGTCAACAGTTTGGAGATGGGTATCAGTGAATGGAAGGCTGACATTCTGTGCCTTACCCCATCATTACTATCTTTTTCACACTAATGGTAGGTGAGAAAGTTCAAGGTGATTTACGACCTTGCGTAGGTTAACTTCACTATGAGAGACAAGAGCAGTGTCATTAGCATAAAGAAATTCTCTCAAAGGAATTTTTGCTCCATAGTTTTTAGTTTCAGTCTAGCAAGGTTGAATGGCATGCAGCCAGGTTGCATAAGAATATGATCTTCTATATTTTTATATGCATAGCTTAAAAGTATTGAGAAGAATATTCTGAACATCATTGGTGTCAAGACTTTTTTTTGTTTTGTTTTGTTTTGTTTAATCTCAAAAATTTCAGAGGCGTTTCCTTTGAATTGCACTGCACTTTGCATATTCTTGTGTAAAGATTGTATTATGCTGAGGAGAGTTGGGGGAGGCATCCAATTTTTTGAAGTACTTTGTACACAATACTTCCTATAAACCAGCAGTAGATAACTGATTGGACACTGTTGCATTAACATGAGTAGAGACAGAAGAGAAGTATTCAATCTTTACATTTTGTTCAATTTAGTATCTACATTTTGTTTCTTCTTTTCATATGCCAGAGTCAGTAGAACTTGAATAATGTCTGTCAGGATTGAGGGGAGCCAGCAGAACGTCATAAATCCCGCTAGTGTTGGGATAGAGCAGCAGGAAGAACTAAAGATTTCAGGGAGTAAATTGACTTGGGAGGGAGGGTGCTCAGGAATCGACTTTAGAAACTCAAGAGTGCAGCATTGGATAGTCAGCACTGTAATTGAGAAAGGTAGTAACTGACAGCCAAGAGTTGGATCTTCCACTCCCCAAGAAAAACTGGCCTTTTGCAGTCTGAACATCATATCTTTCACTCTGCCTGACTTCATGTGCATGATTGTGTGTTCCAAGCACCTGATTACTAGTAATCAAGATTCTAAGTGAACACCTCATTGAGATTTAGAACTCTATTGGTGCTGTTGTTTCCATTTCTCAGGAGGCTGTATATTCAATGAGACAACCATACACTGCTGGTTGTGAGTGTAGGAAAAATTAAGGTGCTTTGTTTTGAAGATGTACAATGAAATCATTAACGGAGAGACCAGAAAATGGAGACTTCATTCACATTGACCCTGTAGAGTGCTGGAAGGAGTGTCTCCAGCATGAGGGCCAGTGCTTAGCACACAGATGTGCAGAATGGCCCTCGCTTTGGGGCCAGCCATGCTGCCAATGAAGTCCATTGGAAAACTCAAAGGAAGCAGGATTGGACTTCATGGAGTGGAATACACACTATGTTCAACAATGTGTGCAAACTCCTATGCTTGCAGTGAGCTAAGCACGGATGAAAAGGGAGGAAGTGGGTGTGCCTAGGATGGACATGGATGCTCAAGGCACTCTAGTTTACATATCACTAATCAGATGCAAATTCTGTGCAAAGTAGACATTTTCCATTATTTTAGAATTCTGCCGCAGAGCTGTCATTGCCAGAGAATAAGTTACTGAAGTTGCTATGAGGATTCTATGTAAAGGCTTCTGTTGTATCTTGTGTAGCAGTATCACAGCCAGCTGCTCTGTGCCAGATGTTTTCCCAGTCCAGCCTGTCTGCTACACCCCATACTTACTTCACTCTGCTGGATCATGGTGAGCATTGTGTTCAGCATTGCTAGTGAGGTCTCAGCCCTACTCAGTGCCTCTTCAGGACTGAGTTTTTAAGATTGTAGTCTGAGAGACGCTGGATACATGCCATACCCATTGAGCTCAGAGAGTGAGGTCCTGATTCAGTACGGAACTAGAGCATGCTCTTTAGCACTGAATATTAAGCATGTCCTTATACACCTTACTGAATCAGTACGTCCTTAAATTAGGAAAGATCTCTGTTTAATATGATCTTTGCAGATTGAAATAAATCCATTTTGTATTTAAATTTCATTATGAATATGCATTTCCATTTGTTACTTCTTATTACTGTACCATTATTTCTGCCACTTCTAAAGCTTCCTTTTACTGTGTTTTCACAGGGGTGATAAGCATTCTCAGTAACATAATCGTGTTAGGCATCTTTGTTAAGTACAAGGAACTTCGGACAGCAACAAATGCAATTATTATTAACCTGGCATTTACTGACATTGGGGTTAGTGGCATTGGTTATCCGATGTCTGCTGCTTCAGACCTACATGGAAGCTGGAAATTTGGATACAATGGATGCCAGGTATTTGAGATTTTTAATATTAAATCAGGGATTAAGTAAGTACTAAGCAGTTAAACACAAACCTGAATATATGAAAAATACCTTCCTTAGATTTTTAATATTCTTTAGAAATGAGTCTGAGCTGCACTGTTTGGGTCCAGGTCTGGAGCTGAACTTCCTTAAAATTCAATTGCATTTGTATTTGAGGGTTTGCTTAGGACTCCTTGCTAATTTTCATTTTTAAAGTTTGGAAGGTTATTGAAACAAATGTGCATTGCTGATAAATATCCAATAGTAGAATGGTAATTACAAAGTAAATCCCATTACTTATTGTAGAATGCATGGATGCTTTGCTTTTTACCAGTCAGTAACCAAGATTTTAAAAAACAAAGAGAAGTCCTGTGGAACCTTATAGACTAACAGCTTTAATGAAGCATAAGCTTTTGTGCATAAAGACCCACTTCATCAGATGCATGTACTGCTAAATGAGTATTTAGCAGTAATATTAATTGCATACTTTGAAAATATTTGTCTGGGAAAAATATAATAGGATAGCAAAATGCTCACAACGAGAGCTGAAACCACACAAAGCTTGCCTGATTGCAGATTTAATTTCAAATTATAACAGCCAATGTTCATTATCCAGGGATCCCATTTGATTGCATTTAGGATGGCGTATATTTTTGGGATGAGATCTAAGAGTTTCCACTCTGCCTTGATCTGAGTTCTTAGGCTCTTTAGAATTCTACTTAACTCAATGTAAACTGAAGAAATCCTGTAAATTGAAACTATAGAATAGTGTGAGTTTCTGGTTATAACTTCTGCAGTAAGAAAACATGTTTGTGTTTCTCCAATATGCAACAAAAACATTAGTTAAATCTAAACAACTTTGCATACCAGGATTGTGAAATTCATTATTTAACATGAGCTAAAAGAAAGAGTGGCTTTTGGCAAACACCTTCAATGGGGTTTTTGAGGGTTTATGCAAACACACTTATCTTAAAATGTTTCACAACAACTAATGGTCCTGTGGCACCTTAGAGACTAACACAAATATATAGAATCATAAGCTTTCATGGGTAAAACCTATTTCATCAAATGAATTGGAGTTGCCAAAGGACTATTCATTGTTTTAAAAGTTACAGACTATCACAGCTACCCCTCTGAAACTTTAAAATGTTTAGTGTTACTTAACCAGCTCCAATTTGTTAATAGTTTTATAAACTGGTCACCAAACAATGCATTGAATACAACCTATGGTAACACTTAGCTTCAACACAGTAAAGACTCAAATGTGTGGAAGCATATGCACAAGTAAGTGAAGTGGCTATGTTTTGTTTTGAAATTTCAGATCTATGCAGCCTTAAATATCTTCTTCGGAATGGCAAGTATCGGGCTGCTTACAGTTGTTGCTATTGATCGTTACCTGACAATCTGCAGGCCTGATATAGGTACTGTACTTTTGGTTATGACTCTTGCACAAAAATGTCTGTCATTTATTAATTGACATCTGTGAACCTTCATGTAAGTTCTTTGATTTTCTCTTATGGAAATGTGCTTCCAAAATTTGGGCATGATTCTGCAGTATTTGAACATATGAGCTATCCCATACATAGCTAAACAAGTCACGTTATCTTTGTTGGATTTGCTTTTGTTGGTGAGAGAGACAAGCTTTTGAGCCACACAGAACTCTTCTTCACGTCTGTAAATAATAGAATAATAGTAAGAATATTAATTGAAGTTGACATGTATTTTTAATAATTCTTAATATTGTTTGTTTTCTATACTGTATTTTTCTTGAGTTGTATACAGGTTTTAAAAATTAAAAGTATTAATTCCTTCATTTTCCCTATCCTCCCCCACTTTCTCCTCTCTTGTTTGATATGACATCAGCAACATCTATTATTGTTAAGCTTCATGTAGGGGAAGGCGTGATGATGCGGAGATGTATTCTAGTTTTCCTTCTAGATGTATGTAGCTGTCATTTATTTGTGATATAGAAGAGCTTAAGTAAAATGGATGTGCTGCAGTATGCACATACTTTTAAGGATCATAATTATGTGCTAATTGTCTTGCCTGGAAACTTTCTGGTTCAAACAAAACCTTTGAGAGAATAAAAGTATAGAGTGGTTTGATGTAAAAACATTTGCTTGGTAACAGGAAGAAGAATGACTACCCGCAATTATACTTCCCTGATCCTAGCTGCTTGGATAAATGCTGTCTTTTGGGCCTTGATGCCTGTTGTAGGTTGGGCTAGTTATGCCCCAGATCCAACAGGAGCCACTTGTACAATAAACTGGCGAAAAAATGATGCGTAAGATTTTGAAAATTTTGTTTTACTTTTCCAGTGTTGTTGTCCATCACTTATTTTCACTCAGCACTGTGATCAATGTTTTCTCCTAAAAAAATGCAATCCAATTTCTCAAAGATCGTGGCAATTCAGAGGCAGAGACTGATGTAGTCTGTAACAAACCAAAAAAGGATGTAAAAATAGTTGGCAATGGAAAGTGTTAGGCATCCTATGTGTAAGGATCACTAACTCTAATAAAACTTACTAAGTTCTAGAAATTGTACTTATCTTTTGGAAAAAAAAATTCTGACTTATTTATTAACAATGTAACATTAGGAAATAATGTATTTGTCAATAATTTTTCATGGCTCCACAGTTGTAATTTTTTGTATTTTTATTTTATTTTTTTTGGCTTGCAGGTCCTTTGTTTCTTATACAATGACCGTAATTGCTGTTAATTTTGTTGTGCCCTTAACAGTCATGTTTTACTGTTACTACAATGTTTCCAGAACTATGAAACAGTACACTACCAGTAACTGTCTAGAGAGCATCAACATAGATTGGTCTGATCAAGTAGATGTAACAAAGGTATGGTGATGGTGTGATTGAATTCTTAAATAAATATTTGATTTTGATATTGATATGCATATATAAATGGTTTGGTTTATCAAACATTTGTTCTTGTTTTGCAGATGTCTGTTGTGATGATTGTGATGTTTTTGGTGGCTTGGTCTCCATATTCCATTGTATGCTTATGGTCTTCCTTTGGGGACCCAAAGAAAATTTCTCCTGCAATGGCCATCATAGCACCTCTTTTTGCAAAATCGTCCACATTCTATAACCCCTGTATCTACGTCATTGCAAACAAAAAGTGAGTGTTCCATTTTTAAACAAATATCTTCCATCTGCTTTATGATTACTGGGCATCATAGTTGTGTAGAAAGACCTTCTGTAAGATAACGACAAAATATTTAACAAAGAGATTCAAAGGTTAAACCCGCGCTGAGTTATCTCAGATAGGCGTGGATGATCATTTGGACAGGTTTTAATACAGTTGGGGCATAGGATTGGCAGGTGCCTGACAACATTTCAATGTTATCTTCAGTTGTGTTGTAATACAATATTTCGCAGAACAATTTCAGATATCATCTTTTGCAAAGATGTGATCAGGGTGAAGTTGGAGTCAGATTATATCTGAGTCCAGGACTGCCCACTTTTAATTAAAACTGGTTAAAATGTATGACTGGTTAGGCCCAGAGGTGTGGGTGGTTGGTGCAGCTGGGGCTAGAGGAGGCAGGCCCCAGCTTCACCAACAGCCCCACCCCATCTGCTGAGGCCCTGCCCCCCACAAGGAGGGGAGGAGATGGGGAAGGTCACTGAGTGTGTCTCATCCCCCACAGGGAGGGGAAGAGACAGAAGGGGGCATGTGCATGCGTCCCAGCCTCTCTGGCCCCTGGAGCATTGTGGGAGGGAGGAGGGTGTGTGATGCGGTTCCTGCCTCCTCCTCCTCCAGAGCATGGGGGAAGGGAGGAGGGTGAGCTGCGCGGCTCCCACCTCCTCAGAGCACTGGATGAAGGGGGCCACGTGGTGCAGCATGGCTCCCATCTTCCTGGAGCACCCTGGATAGAGGAGGCCACATGTCTCCTGCCTTCCTGGCCAAGAGCATAGGAAGGGTGAGAGCTTGGGGTAGAAACACTCTGACCCCTGAATTCCTACGGAAGGCATTCTGGGGACGGAGTGTGGGTGGGGTTATGCCTGGCAGTTTGGGAAGGCAAAGCCTTCCCCTGCCTAGTAGTGATGTAAGGGAGCAGTCGACTACTGATAAGCATATGCTTATTGAGTAGTTGAGTTGACTACTTCTTTCCCCCCCCCCTTGTTGCTTCTATGTCAGAGGCAGCAAGTGAGGAAAGCAGGACCTGGTGCTGGGGGGAACTGGCTTGAAAGCTGATTCCTCCCCAGCACTGTCTCCGTGGTGTGGGGGAGAGGGCAAAAGAGTGGGGGAGGGGGAAAGCTGGTGTGAGCTGGGATTGTGCACCCAGCTCCTACTACATTTAAACCGCAGAGCCACAGTGGGGGTAGTGAGTGCCCTCCCCCCTTATTGACTAATCGAGTAGTTGATGGAAATTCCATTGACTACTCAATAGCTGTTTAACTGCAATTTAACATCCTACCACCTAGGCTACCGGTTGCCTATGCCCGGAAGATCCTCAAAGGTATTTAGTCCCCCTACTAAAGTTAGGAGAATAAATAACTTTGAGGATCTGGTTCCTAAGAGCATAGCTATACTAGAAAACTATTTCAAAATAACTAACATCGATTTAATAATTCCCAAAAAACCAAAACCAAAATAGCATGTCCACAGTACGTGGAAGCCTCAAAATTAGTCTGAGGCAGGCTCTGTTAATGTGGACGTACTACCTTGACTTTGAGCACCAGGAAGCCCTGGGGAGTAATTAGTTTGAATTACTCTGAGGTATAGTTATTTCAAAATAGCACTAGAGTGTCCACACTAAGGCTATTTTGAAAAAGCTATTTTGAAATTAGCAATATTCTTTGAGAAAAGCAGAAGATTTCAAAATAAGCAGCCTATTACTTAAAAATAACAGGCTTGCAGTGTGGAACGCTCCGCTTATTAATTTGACCAAAGGGGGGTTATTTTGAAATAAAGTCCTAGTGTCAACCAAGGGTTAGTGACTTGTCCTATGGATATCGTTGGTTGGCTTGGAATGTGTCATAGTGGGGTAGTTTGAGACATTTAAGAGCAACCTACAAGTCACAGCTGGCTTCTCTTCTTTCAAAAGAAAACTCAGCCATATTTTGAATATAGGTATCATACTGAATTGAGATAATTTGAGGGCATATCCCTGGTTTCACAAAAACAGCCAAAATCAAAAGGGTTTTGCCTGTTGTTGGGAGTTATACAAAGGTTTTAAGGACACTGGAATCCTTCTATTCCCAACCCCCAACCTGAAAGCAGGGTCTGGGACATCCAAATAGATGAGCTGAACTGCTCCTTCTGAGTTGTTGGTGTGGTCTGGCTCCTCCCTCCAAGCCTGACAGTTTGATCTGCCCTTGCTAAGACCCTCATGTTCAACACAACCAGCATGCTTCCATCCACCCATTCAAGTCCTTAGATTTTTATCTCACAGCTGTGTGGGTGGGGCTGACTTGTGCTGGCCTTACTCATGGTATCCACCAAGCACCACAGGTGGTACTGCTGCTGTGGGTGTTCTCCCTTGGGATTAGGGCTCAGTTAAATCAAGTCAGGGAGCAAGGATGGGGAACCTTTTTTTTGGATTGGGGACCACTGACCCACAGAAAAATCAGTTGGGGACTGCACAGGTGAGAAGCAAAAACCAAAACACACAAAAAAACAAACCAACCCCAAAACAAACCCTGCATCTAGCCCCTGGGCCTTAGGTTCCCGCCCTTTGTTCTAGTGCTTGCACCTGTACCACCTGCTGGGGGAAGTGAGGATCAAATGAGAGATTTTGGTGTCCCATTTTAAGGAGCCAAACCTTTGAGACAGAGTAATCTCAATCTTAAAGTAATCTCAAAGTTAAAATCAAATTTTTAAATGCCACTCTAATAAAATCCAACGGCTCTGAGTGTCCACTCACACTAGCTTCACACTGATGCAATTCCACGCACCTCAGCAGAGTTCTCTTGATATACACAGGTAGACGAAGAGAGTAGAGGCTAACTGAATTCTAAAAGTTTATGAAAACAAAAAGCCTACTTGCTATAGCTCATTTGAGTCATTTGCTTCTTGATCTATGCATCTCGTGATATGAATTTTTGCTTCACTCCTTGCACTGCAGGTTCCGGAGGGCAATCCTGGCAATGGTTCGATGTCAAACTCGGCAGGAGATAACTATTAATAATGCCTTGCCAATGAGCGTCTCTCAAAGCACACTGACGTAACAAGGCTGCTTGAAAGCACTGCTGCTTTATTTACCCTACAGCATATGTTTTGTACACAAAATGGAAATAAGTGGTCACACCTAGGCCACAATTGCATTTGTATCACATTGTAATAATAACCCACTCCAATGTGCCAATTGTTTTTCTTTTTGTCTGAATAATATTTAATTCATTTTTTTTTAAATGCCAAGGTTTTACTTCTGCAGATCAGGCCAATTGGCATATATGCTTTTCCCTCTCAAAAGATGATAGTGAATGCTCAGTGTATTTCATAACTCTTGGATAGTGGAATAAAATGGTGTGAGAGGCAGAATAAAGCAAGATCTGCTTGATTGTGCTACAGGAACAGAAATAAATGTTGTGTATGCCTAATTCAAATATGGTATGTGTAATTTCCCCCACTGAACTCTAAACCCTTTCCAAAAATTTCAGGCACAGTATTCTCCTGCATTCCCCATTGTGTTTTAAATGCACACATTGATCTGACCTGAAAAGGTTATTCTTATGGCTAAGTCTACACTGGTACTTTACAGCACTAACTTTGTGGCTCATGGGTGTGAAAAAACCCTTTCCCCCTTCCCAAGTGCAGCAATTTACAGTGCTGTAAAGTGCCAGCAGTGAACTAGGCTACAGCACTGGGAGCCACACCCACCGGTGATGTTAGCTACTCTGCTCCTGGAGGTGGTTTACATCAAGCACTGGGAGATCTTGCTCCTAGCCCCAGTGCAAGTGCTGTGGTCACACTTTCAGTTAAAAGCGCTGCCACAGCTGCACTTTAAATTTTTAAGTGTAGATGAACCCTATGAGTACTGTAGTGTGCAGGAATACTGAACTAAGCCTTAGGGAATCCAGCATTGCCAACTCTCTTTATTATTAGTTTTGTGATACTTGTTGTTTTTCTGGGTTCTTGGAGTCAACTTATTATGTGAGAATCTCAGCTTTCACTGTTAAAAATAGCAAGATTCTAACCTTTGTGACTGCAGAGAAAATCTTGAAAATGTGACCTAAGCTCACGTTAAAGGTTCAAACCAGAAGGCAAGTATTTTAAGATAATCTCATGATTTTTGAGGCCTGATTCATGATTTTCTTTAATTTTCATTTTGGGAATCAGTTTGTTCAGGGCTGAAGGGATGAATATCTTTTTGAAGATTCAGTTCTAAGTGGTAGTTAACTTCATCATAGTATTTCTGAGGTTTGGAGAATAAATATCTTGTCTACTAGTAATACAAAATATGAACAACACTCAGACAGATCTCAGTTACAACTGTTTCATTTAACTAAATCTACGTAATTTATTGAATTCATGTCCTGTTACCTAGTGCCTGTGTCTTTTTTTTAAGTGATACAGACCCTTTTTAGAATACTGGATGTTGAACTCTTCATCTGGTATTGGCAATAAAATAGAATTTTATTTCCGAAATAAATATATTTATTTCTGAGATCCTGTAATCGGTTCTAAAAAGCAAACATCCACTGTCTCAAGGAAGAATAAAGAGCACACATTTTAAAGCACAGTCTAAGAGGATTTCAGTTCACATATTTTTGGTACTATCAGTTGATAATCAGTAGATGGCACCAACAATTAGTTTATTTCTTTGACTGCTTTATTAATATTTAAGTTTTATATGAAGTCATCTATATTCTGTTCAGTGTGCAACTATTATTTAAATATATTTAATCCTTTTGGTAAAGCCTGAAAAATATTTTAAAAAGTTGTAAAACCTAATTTGTTGTAGATTCATTGTGAATATTTTTACAATATTAAAATATAGGTGCATTCTGCACTGTGTGGTTATTCAGTGTTAGAATATGCCCCTTTGAGTTTATTGTTTAGTACTGTCTTTGACATCTTACACTTAAACAGAACACTTCTTTCCTGAATCTCCAAATGATTTACAAATATTGGCTAAACTGCACAATCCCCCTGTCAAGTAAAAGGATATGTCATAATAAATCTAGTAAATCTAAATTCAGCATAGTTAACTATAAAGATAGTTCTGAGATGTGATAGATATAATTTTAATAGAACATGTTCCTTTGACATAATGATTAACAAGCTGGTACAACTGATCTCTTCCAGGGTACACTTGAAGGTTAAGTAGCTACAGATCTCAACTAATCCAGTGTAATCTGCTATTACTAAATGGATGTCTACATTCACATAGATAGCACAAAGCACTTGAGTGCCTGGGAATAAAAGTTTTTAGATTTTGTTCATATCAATTTTGTTGAAAGAAAGCCATGTATTTGTTTGTTTGTTTGTGCATCATGATTAGCTTTTTTGATGAAGTAAACGGTTTCTGTCCTTCACAATGCACTTGCATTTACCACGGCAGAAGTGATGGCACCGGAACAAGGTATGCATTTCTTGCCATTAAACCACATAATTATAGGAACATAGATTGGAAATTTAGAATAACATTACAACACTGATTATTGCAGCTTGTGTAGTTTTAGTTCATGTGCTTTTTAGAAGTAGAAAAGCAAGTTTACTCCATTTTATGCCATTTTTTACATTATAAGCAATGTGCATGTATGTTAACAGGCAGCAATAATAATTTATATTATTGGTTTTCACTTAGCAGCTGGATGCCTTTTAAATCTTCAATTTTTACGGAGACTTTTCTCTTCATTCTAACCTACTAAATGTCAATATTTCATTGAAAATTCCATTTCTTAAACCAGTTACCAAAATTTCAGGCACAATATTCCCTTCTGTGTCTGTAGGAAAATCTCACTGACAATAGAAAAAGTATGATGATAAAAAGCTTAGCCACTTAGAATTATTTTACAGCAGATGCACTGGACATTGGATTGTTGCTCATTTGGGGAATTACAATTGCAGCTAGTTTTAGTCTTTATCTATTACAAAGTTCTGGTGAGAAGAAAGGGTCAGAGACGTTCATCATAAATCAGCATCCATGGAGAAAAAAAGAGACATTAACTTTGTGTGTCAAAACAATCTAGCCTGGGTGCCTAGACTCCTAAGTCAATGTGTAGGCACGTAAAATAAATTGAAATGGCCTATTTTACAGAAGTTCTGAGAAACCCCAGTACCACTGAAGTCAATGCAATTAGAAAGTGTGCAGGACCTCTGAAAATTAGGCCACTTCTATTTAGGTGCCCACTTGTGGATTTAGAAGCTTAAATTTAAGCACTCAATGGGGAAAATTTGACATTTTTCTATCATCTTCAACCTACTTTCAAAAGCAGAGTTCCACATATATATATTACCCTGGTACCTTAAATATCTGATATTGCGCCTCTTGCAGAAAACTTAGAAAAAGTGATGCAAAGAATTTATGAAAGTGGAGGTTATGAATGTCCTGTTTCAATGATAAAAATACAAATAAAGCCCCTATGTTGTTGAATTACATTGCTGGCCCTAAAATGACTGAGTAAAAGAAAGCATTTAAATTGATCTGGAATTAATGCAGCAGTATCATTAATATTTTATATTCACTTTCTCTTTAGAAAGCAAGTCCACTTTTTAATTGCTTCTCTCTTTACAACATAGAGTATTGCACTTGATCTGACATTTTGGCAGTCGTGGTAGTGGAAAAGGCATTAATATGTAATTGAGAGTTTACTGGAGACTTGCATCTTAAATACATACTAATTAAATGTAGTACTCTTCTTGTTTGATGCTAGATCGGTGCTGTGTAATGACCCTGACATGTCTGAAATCCCTGTGAATGTTCCTGTGGACACAGTAAAACTTCGTGTAGAAAAAACTGTTATACGTAGGATTCCTACTGAAGCTTTTTACTACTTGGTAGACCTTAAATACCTGTGGGTGACCTACAACTGTGTGGCTAACATTGATACCAGCAGCTTTTATAATTTGAAGCAGCTGCATGAATTGCGTCTGGATGGGAATTTGCTGTCGAGCTTCCCTTGGGAATCTCTTGTGGAGATGCCCAACTTACGAACCCTTGATTTGCATAATAACAAATTGACCAGCATTCCAGCTGAGGCTGGTAGATACCTGAGAAATCTCACCTACCTGGACATATCCAGCAACAAACTAACCACCTTACCATCAGACCTAATGGATATTTGGCCCCCCTTCTCAGAAGCAACACCGTCCAAGAACACTGATCAAGCAACACAGAGAATCATATTGGGTAAGTTTACAAGAACATGGGATTCCTTAGTAAAATGTATCTAAATATTCATTTTAAAAGGGAAGCAGCTTAGTGTATTGAATAGGACCTTGGCCTACGAGTCAGAAGATCAGGGTTCTAATACTGATTTTGTTGCTGGTTTGTTGTGTGATCACTTATCCTAGCTATGTCACCTGCAAAGTGGAGTTAATGAGAGTTGCCCTTCTTCATAAAACATTTCAGTATCTTCGGGTCTGGCCCACGAAAGCTCATCATCTAATAAACCATCTTGTTAGTCTTTAAAGTGCTACGTTGTCCTGCATTTTGCTTCAGATTAAAAGAGCTAAGTAAATATTGATGAAATCCTTCCTGTGAGGGTACAGCATATGGACAATTCAGCTGACATAAGAACTTAAGTGTTGCTTACCGTTATGAAAGAATACTTGTATTCATGATGAAATTTCCTTTGTCATTTTACTTTCTATAGCATGACATCATCTATTATTGCAAACACAGACACGATACCTCAGGCAGTGATCTCATCCCTTAGTGTACCTGAAACTAAGGCTAGGTCTATCTACACTGTAGCTTTTTCCGATCACTTTTCTGGAAGAGGCTTTTCTGCCATTTGGCTCTGTCTAGATGGGGCCAAATGGCAGAAAAGCCTCCTCCTTTCGGAGGAGCCCTTATTCACCGTAGAACGAGGTATACAGGGCTCTCTGAAAGAGCACATTTGCTCTTCTGCAAAAGAAAGCAGAAGAGCAAACGTGTTCCCTGGATGTGGCGGAGTTTTTCCTGTATTCCAGAAAACCCCGCAGTGTAGACATACCCTAAGTAAGGGGCAGGTTTGGTCAATATTTCAGTGGAGTGCCTCAAGGAAGGACTGCAGCATGTGGTGTTTGTAGCTCAGTAGAGGGACTTTCCCTTCTATGTCAGTCTTGAACCACTTATGGATTATTCTAGGAGGGGTAGGTGAGATTCTGTGGCCTGCACCGTGCAGGGGTCAGACTAGATGATCATAATGGTCCCTTCTGACCTTAAAGTCTATCAGTCTATGGTGACAAGGGAGAATGAGTTGTTAGAAGAGTTGTGTTCCCAATGGTGCACGCACTAGTGCTCTGAACTCACACAGGGATGAACTCTGGGCTCAAAATGGCTCTATGTTGGTTAACTCCACAGATTTCAATGCTGTTATTCCTGAAGTAAACTGGTGTAAATGAGAAGAGAATCAGCCCTGTGGTCTTTAAAGATCCTATGGCATTTTCACAGTTGTGGTGTGTCAGAACTGGTGCTCTGGTCAAACTCCATTTTGCATAATTATATTCTGCCTATTAATAGAAGTCTCCTAACTTGCTTGCAGTCTAGACCAATTCATAGAGAGACTCTCCTCTGGACCTGTTTGTGCAATTTCACAGACCACCGCGTGCCTCCCCACCCATTCCTGATCAGCTGCCAGCACCACTTAGTAACTGCATAGTATCACCAGGGTAGCTCCAGTTATTGCTTTATTTCCTAATGTTACTTTTCCATGTATTTATATACTTTTAGCCATTCTTTATTACACTGGGAGAGCAAGCACCATATGACTAGCCGGCTCTCCATAGATAACAAGAAGTGAGTCCATACATCACAGCTTGGGAACCTCTTCCCCATAGTTGTAATTCAGTACTACTGTGTAATATGTTTTGTGGCTGTGTTCCACTCCAGTGGCCTGAACCTGCAAACCTTTATTTAGGGAAGAATTATTATAATGAATCAGAACTAGTTTGTGCCCATCTTGCTAATACATGTGAGGAACTCTGTGCATGGAAACAGTTCCAGTGAGTTACTTGTATGCATAGGTGTTTGTAGGATTGAGGCAAGAGGGCTTAGGGATGGATCATTCAGGATAAAAGATGCTATAAACTTGCAAAATATCAATTATATGTTAAATTGTTTGTTTCTTATTAATCTAAATATAAAACTATAATGTGGAACTGATTATACTATATGGATTGCTGCCTACTCTTTATTTTGAATTTTTTTACTCCTAATATCTGAGGACACATGCTGTGTGGGAAATACTGGTGTGTGTCTTAAAATGTTAGTACAACACATTCAGCTTATTGTAAATCATGTGGCCCCCCCAGGAATCAGGCATCAGTTCTGTAAATGCTTTGTCTAAAATGGCTTTCAATACATATGTATCTTTGAGTGCTCAGAAAAAAATACTGTGGAGGATTAGGCATAATTGAAGGAATCCTCCACGGCACTCAGTTTCTGTGGATGCAATATGGAGAGGATGGACTCTGTGAGAGCAGGAGGTTGCTTTCGGAACCTGACATGCCTAGTCTTCATGTGATGCGGCTGCTCTCATCTCCATAATTGTAATGGCTGGACCACAGTGTGCTCCATTACTATCCCAGCATACTCCTAATCTGAAGGTTACAGGAGGGAAGAGAGTAGAAGCTGGCTCTGGGTATATCAATACAGCAGCTGGGAATTGCAGTTCCTAGTGCAGGTAGACCTAAGTGTGCTTGCCTGCTTGAGGTAGATGGCCATAGAGGCTCAGGCTAGCCATGTGGGTACACTCTTGTTTAACCCCCTGATTATGCACTGTTGCCAGTACCACTGTAGTTACACTGCTATTTTTAAGTTCTAGCTTGAATGGCACCAACATGTGTATATCTACCCGTGCTGGGAATTAAACCTCCCAGCTGCAGTGTATGTCAGTTCTAAACCTGTGGAGGATTTCCCCTGTATCAGAATCCTCACCAAGGGTACGTCTACACTACAGCGCTAGTTCGAACTAACTTAGTTCGAATTAGTTAATTCGAACTAAGCTAGTTCGAACTAACGCATCTAGAACTAAAAACTAGTTCGAACTAGCGTTTTGCTAGTTCGAACTAGTAAGTCCACATTGAGTGGACTCTGAACAGGGCTTAATGATGGCCGGAAGCAGTGCCGGCAGGGCATAAAAGGAGGACTTAGAGCATGGAGATACTGTCTCAGGCTAGCCGAGGGCTGCGCTTAAAGGGTCCCGACCCCCACCCCGGACACACAGTTCTAAGGGGTGCCCCGCTTGCAAAGAAGTTCTGGCTTGGAGTGCCCTGAGTGCCCACACTGGGCACATCACACCACTCGGCCATCAGCCCGGCTGCACTTGCCGCAGGCTGCCATCTGGGGAGAGGGAGTAATTGGGGGGCTGCAGGAGAGCTTCCACCCCCAGAAGCCCGCAGAGCCAGCCCAGTCCTCCCCATCGGGGGCTCGTACCCCATTCCTCCCTCACCTCCTTCCACTTACCCTTCCCTAGCCCCCCTTCTTATTGATGTACAAAATAAAGATAACGTTTCTTCCAACATTGACTCTGTCTTTATTGAAAAAAACTGGGGGAGACTGGGAAAAGGAGGTGGGAGAGGGGAAGAGAAAGGCTGGGAGAGGGGAGGGCAACTAACATGATCAGGGGTTGGGAACAGGTCCCAGATGAAGAGAGGCTACAGAGACTGGGACTGTTCAGCTTAGAAAAGAGGAGACGGAGGGGGGACAGGATAGAGGTCTCTAAAAGCAGGGGTTGGGTGGAGAGGGTGCATTCAGAAAAGTTCTTCCTGAGTTCCCATAAAGAAGGACTAGAGGACACCAAAGGAAAGGAATGGGTAGCAGGCTTGAAACTAGTAAGAGAAAGTTGTTCTTGACAAAGCAAATAGTTAACCTGTGGAACTCCTTGCTGCAGGAGGCTGTGAAGGCTACAACTAGAACAGAGTTTAAAGGGAAGTGAGATCAAGTCATGGAGGTTGGGTCCATGGAGTCCTATTAGCCAGAGGGTAGGAGTGGTGTCCCTGCCCAAAGTTTGTGGAAGGCTGGAGAGGGATGGCACGAGACAAATGGCTTGATCACTGTCTTCGGTCCATCCCCTCCAGGGTCCCTAGGGTTGGCCGCTGTTGGCAGACAGGCTACTGGGCTAGATGGACCTTTGGTCTGACCCAGTACGGCCATTGTAAGCTCAGGGCTCAGGGTCGGGGGTCTCAGTGGACCCCCTTGATTTTCATGCACACCTGGTCCTGGGTGGCCAGGCTGGCAGCTCTCCTGCCCTAGACGGCCACTTTCCTGTGCCTAGTGCAGAGATCGTGGACGGCCAGAGTGGCCACCAGGGAAACCTGGGGAGGCTTAGCCTCCCCCTAGTTCGAACTAAAGGGCTACACAGCCCTTAGTTCGAACTAGCTAGTTCGAACTAGGCGTTAGTCCTCGTAAAATGAGGTTTACCTAGTTCGAACTAAGCGCTCCGCTAGTTCGATTCAAATTCGAACTAGCGGAGCGCTAGTGTAGCGCATAGGAAAGTTAGTTCGAACTAACGTCCGTTAGTTCGCTTAGCCTCCCCCTAGTTCGAACTAAAGGGCTACACAGCCCTTAGTTCGAACTAGCTAGTTCGAACTAGGCGTTAGTCCTCGTAAAATGAGGTTTACCTAGTTCGAACTAAGCGCTCCGCTAGTTCGATTCAAATTCGAACTAGCGGAGCGCTAGTGTAGCGCATAGGAAAGTTAGTTCGAACTAACGTCCGTTAGTTCGAACTAACTTTCTAGTGTAGACATACCCCAAGGGACATCTTCCAGTCTTAATGCGCTGCCCTTGCTGTGCAAAGATACTGGAATCTGGCTGAGTATGCACAGGTACTATGTAAACTTTCTTCACCAATCTTTGTCAACATACTTTAATCCTGACAACCTGCGCTTGTATTCTGTTGGACTGTGCTGTATTATGCAATGATTTTATAAAATGCAAAAATGTCCTCAAGGGGATTAGCATGAAACCTTTAGCTCATTTTCATTTGTGAACTAAGTCTGGATTTGACTCCATGTCTCCAGAGATGAAAGGACAGTAGATTCAGGTTTGGGATGTAAGCAAGTAGTCGACTACTCGCATTTCCTGCCCTCACCCCTTGCTGCCTCTATTTCCTGGCTTAAAAGCTTTCTCCCCCCAGCGCAGTCTCCACGGTGCCACGTGCCTGCCCCTCACTGCTGCATCTATAAAAGGCAGAAGTCAGGAGT